CAAATCCCAAAGTTGGTTCTATAAGAACACAAATAGATGGGAACTGAAATGGAGCCAACAAGGTTATGGGTAGTTATGAATATGTCATAATGAGCCCCACTATTATGTATAACTATGATATATGGATAAAAGCATTTTAAAAATAACACAAATAGAATTGATAAATCATTGGTAATAATGTTTAGGGAGAAAATAAGAGAAAGCACAAAATTCCAATATAAGAAAGGACAAGGGAGACATTTTTACTGATTTTATAAACATTAAAAATTGACATTTTTAAATCGATGGAAATGATAAAATATTTAACAATTTTAAAAACAGATAAAATTGATATATTTTCAGGAAATTATCATGTCCAAGCTAAGAAATAGAATTTATGACTTAAGACTTTCTCACAAAGAAAATCATAAAATTAAAGGGCCTTGCCAGATTTCTTATTTAACTGACTTTTTTGGACAGGAACAACAGAATCCAGGAGACAATGGAATAGTGTCTTTAAGTGCTGAGATAAACAAAGAATGGAATACACTAGTGTAACTCCACATCACGCACAACCATGTTAGAGTCTGTAAACAAGTCAGGATGGCTCCTGGCATTTTGCCAGAGAAATGTTAGAGTCTGTAAACAAGTCTGGATGGTGCCTGGCAAAATGCCAGAGGGAGTGGTTTGTGAAGTAACACCAGGGAGCCATTAAGTGTGGAGATTCCTTATTGGTTGACTGATGTATCTAGTTTATGCTAATTAGATAAGCTGTGTGGAATGTATAAATACTGCTCCTGTCCTGCAATAAACGGCTCCCATTCCTGCTGTATCAACGTACACAAGTTGTTCGTCACCCCCCGGTTATTTTGCTGCAGCTGGACTGCGGCACAACCACAAGAATAGGAAGTTATACTCCATAAATATATAATATGTTAAAATACATACTACTGTCATGTGTAACTGAAAAGAACATTTTTTTAAAAAAAGAATGGAATACAAATTCCATAAGTATAAACTAGTAAATAAATAAATAAAGAGAGATGCCATAACCACTTTATTATGTAAGACTAGAAAAATAAGGGATATTACAAGAAACAAGAATCTGTCTTATGATATAAAGGGAAAAAATCCTAAACAAAATTTAGCAAACTAAATACAGGTTGTAATTTCAAGATGAAGTTGTATTTATCGCAGGAATAGAAGGTTGATATAACGTTTGAAAATAAAATTAATGTAATTTCCTATACCAACAAAGAAAAAAGGGATTATCTCAATGGATTAAAAAAGCCTACAATATCCACTCATAATTTTAAAAATGCATCTCTTAGTGAACTAGGAATATCTTCCTGCCCCTAATAAATATCATCTATGAAAAACTTATGCAGAATACGCTTAATGACGAAAAGCGGAAAAATTTTCTGAGATTGAAGTCAAGAGAAGGATGGCCACTATCTCTATAAAATAATCCATTGAATAAAACAGGAATAAACAAGTCCATGCTAATATTTTAAAAAATAAGAAGGGAAATTACATACAGAGCTAATAATTAAGAAATATAATTAGCTAATCATTTTGAAGCTAATATATTGTTTGTTGGGACAAAAAGAAGTTATGGAGAGCTACCAAGGTAGCTGAGTAGGGATGTAATGAGGGACATTACTGTGTCATTGGTGTAATATAGGGACATTTTCTGTGATAGCTTTTTTGATGTGTTGAGCTAGCTAGGCTAATTATTCAAACACTGATCCAGGTCTTACTGTGAAGAGATTTCTGTGTACATAATCTAAGTCCTTCGTTACTTGACTTTAAGGATATTACTTTGTATACAATCTGGATGGCATGATTTCAACAATAGGAAGGCTTTCAAACTAGTGCTGAAGAGACAGCAGAGGTGGAGAAGAATAGGTTCCACCCTTGACTACAATTTCAGCCTGTGGAGGGACTCAGCCTACCCTTGGTCTTCCCTTTCTGGTTGCCTGCCTGGATTTTGGATTGATTCAGCCAGGCCCCACAATCTGATCCTTCTACTGATAGTTCTTTAAGATAGGAAGGAAAAGAAAGGCTGAGAAAATACTTTGTATCTGTTATGGTGTGGATGTGAGGTGTCCCCCAAAAGCTCACATGTGAGACAATGCAAGAAGGTTCAGAGGAGAAATGATTGGGTTGTGAGAGTCTTAACCCAATCAGTGAATTAATCCCCTACTAGGGATTAACTGAGTAGTAACTAAGTGATAGAGTGAATGTGGTTGGAGGAGGTGGGAATTAGGGTGTGGCTTTGGGGTATATGTTTGTATGTGGCAAGAGGAGACCTCTCTCTCTCCCTCTCCCTCTCCCTCCCTCCCTCCCCTTTCTGACCCTCATGTGAACTGCTTCTCTCTGCCATACTCTTCTGCCATGATGTTCAACCTCACCTTGAGCCCTGAGGAATGGACCTGGCTGTCTATGGACTGAGACCTCTGAAACCACAAGCCTCCCAATAAACTTTTCCTCCTCTACAATTGCTCTAGTCGGATCTTTTAGTCATTGCAGAGAAAAAGCTGATTGAAACAGTATTAAAGGATATGGATGGAACACGATAATAGAAAGTGGCATTACTCCTGGGTGGCATCCTGGATGAGACAGGAAACCCCCACTATTGGCATTTGAAACAGAGCGATTAATGGCACAATTGTATTGATGCTGAATTTCACTTGGTAGGGTTCTGTGGGTACAATGCAGGAGAGTGTCACAGAGGGCGACATTGAAGTTGTTAGAAAAAATGAGTCAACATGTCAGAAAAAGTATATAAAAAGGAAGAGAGAAATAGAGTTCAAAGCAATGTTTTTCAATAGAGGAATTTGGGTGAAGAGAATAAGAATTTTCTTTTTATTCTTTTTACCACTTTTCCTTGGGCTTGAAACTGTTTCAGAATGGTAATTAGGATGAGGGTAGAACCTTCACGATCCACTTTCCAAAAGCCCCACCTCTAAACCTTGCTGCACTGGGGACAAAGCCTTCAACACATGAGCCTTTGGGGAATATTCCAGATCCAAACCATAGCAATGGAATTGTAAATCAATCAATGTGCTCACTTTGGAAATCTGTCTGGCAGTCTTTATTAGAGCTAAACATAAACATCTCTGTGACCTACTAATTTCTACCCTTGGTATTTCCTCAGCAGGAAAGCATACACTGTGTCCCAAAAGAGATGTACAAGAATATTAAAAGGAACATTAATCAAAATACTCCTTAATTAAAAACAAAAATGCCTGTAAACAATAGAATGGAAAGAACAAATTGTGGAATACTTATATAAATGACTATTTTATAGCAATGAACTTGAGCAAAATCCTGCACAGGTAGTAATATAATCTCACAATGTTGTATGGAGTAATTCAGACACGGACGTCTACACACTGCATAAATCAATTTATATAAAATTTAAAGATATATTAAAAGTAATCTATGAATTAGAAAGCAACATGGGGAGACATTTGGTGGAGCAGGCTGATAATGAATACGAATAGGACTCTTTTGCCTGGAATATTTCACCAATGTGTTCAGTTATGATTTAGACTCTTTTGATATATATTATAAAACAATAAAATAATTTATTTTTTAAAATTTGGCAGGCCTAGCCAATTCACACTTTCCTCAAGAATAATAAATTCACATCCCTCCTCTCCTTTTTGACTTCAGTGGTTTATGATTTGTCTAGGTACTGTCCCTGTTTCTGCTAAAGCTTCAGTTAAAGCTGTTGGCTTGTTTTCTGTCATCAGAAACCAGTAAGTCAGAAGGGTTCTTGTTCTTTAACTCTAGCTTTTGTTTTGGTGTCCACTGAAAACTAGGCTCTTCTATTTCCTTGAACAGCTTGTGTGGAATGACTCTGGATCTTCTTAATTCTAGACATAGTCATTGTGCAGTATGTTGGGCAGCAGCCTGACGACTTCACTGTCCTCCACAGTTGGTATGTCTGAGCACTGATAAGCTGAAACACATAGTGTCTTCTGAGTTTTTCTCCTCTATATTACAATCATGGCATCCCATTGAGTTGTGTGTGAAATTATGTGAGGTAGGTTACATTCTCTATGAAGTCAATTATAGATTAACAAAGGCTGTATTATACCATATTTTTTTCCCCCTTAAAACAGGTCTTGGATCTGAAGAAGGCTGAGAACACCTGGTCCAGGGAATACAAACCCTGGATAGGTGGGTCTGGACAAGGGAGACAGAGGGAAGAAAAATTGACTTGCTCAATCCCACCTTCCAGACCTTCTTACATCCCAGACTCTCCCACCTGGGGGTAGAGTGAACTTTGAAGCCCCTTGAACTGAGTACTAATAAATTGGTCTGTTGTTTACTAGCTGTCTGATCTTTTGAAAGTTACTTAAGCTACCTAAGCCTTCGTCTGTCTATAAAATGGCACCACTCATTTCTTTCTTCCTCTGGCTGCCTTGAGAATTGAGGAGTGAATTCAGGGCCAAAGCTGGCACAACAGATGATTGACCTATAATTGTCACCTCACCAACGTTAATGCACTTCCCGTCTTCCACCCCTGTGCCAGGCCTGCAACACCTCTAAGGGTCTCTTCATGCAAATAATAATAATAAAAACATGCTTCCTCCGGTCCCTGCCCGGACCAGGCTCCTTGGGGAATCCTGCATATGTGCCACCTCTTTCCAATTAGACCCCAATACTGAAGGGATGAATTTTCATAAATGTACTAGACAAAAATGAGATTACCATGACCAAATTTCCAACCGAATGGCGGGCTGGCCTGTAGCAGGGTTCTGAATATCACATTCCCAGGTAGCTCCTCTAACAGAGAACTTGTTAATTTCTGAGGTCTGGACAAGAAAAGTTCATCTGGGAGATTTTCAAGAAGCATGGCTCTCTCATACTCTATCTCCATGAGTTCTCACCCTCCTGGGTGGACTTTAACCACGAAAATGAGTGTGTGTCAGACTGGCTGCTAGGCAACAGCCCCACCCTGGAAGTTCCCCTTCCAGGCATTGTGACATGGCTTTCTACAGGGCAGCCCTGTGGTATAAAGGGAGCTGGAAAGGCAAGTTATTATCTCTGTAAAATCTTGTTTCTTTACTCTGCAGCAGAGGGACCATATTCACCATGTAGGAGATGGCCTATTAAGTACCTTGTCCACGGCTTGGAATACTCAGCTGGCTAATTCCTAACTACCTTCAAACAGTCATTCCTGTAGTCGTTCAGTAAGTACTTATTAAACTCTTAATGATGTGCCAGGCACTACTGTGGGACATTGCATTAACAGTGGGAATCCACCAGTGAACAGCCATTCTTGTCCTTGTGGAGCTTAATTTTGGTGGGAGATATAGACAGACAGACAGACAGACAGACACACATACACATACACACACACACACACACACACACGGTATGTCAGGTAGTGACAAGTGTTCAGAAGGACAAAGTAAGCACGGCAGGGAGAGAACAATAAAGGGCATTTCAGTCTTAGGTTGAGAAACCAGCAAAATCCTCACTGAGAAGGTAACTTCAAGGGAGGTTTGAAAGAAGTTTGAGAGAGAGAGTCAAATGAAAACCTGAGGAAAGAGTGTTCTAGCTCGTGCAAAGGCCCTGAGATGGTAAGTTAACTGGAATACTTGAGAAACAGCAAAGAAGTGACTCAGTTGAAATAAAGTGAGAGAGAATTGCAGGGGATGATATCAGATCCGTCATGGTGGCTAGATCATACTCATCTTCTTCTTGCACACAGTAGATTTACACAGAGTCATTTGTTTAAACCAGAATTGTTTTGTAAAATAGGAGGAAAATAAGGGGATTTAGTTTTCAGTCGTCATTCTATAAATTGTGGGGGAATGATGTTACTAGGAAAGGTGTTCATGTGGAAGCACATGGCTACTATGTTGTTTAAAGATGCTCCTCCAAGGCAACAGCTGCATTCCTGTCCTGGTTCACAAGGCCACAGCCCCCAAGTCCTCTGAACCCTCTCAGTGCTATTTGGCTTATTAGTGACCTAAACAGGAAATTCCTTCTAAAATGGCTTGCACAAATTCCTATGCTCTATTTTCTGACAAATTTCACTTTTTGAATAGAAATGTCATTCTTTTAATAACAATATACACTCTTACCCATTTTCCCCTTCACCTGCTCTGTGTCTTTTGATTTCCAAGGCTTGTTGCATAAGCCTCAGGACTAATCCATCCTCTAGTCACCACGAGGGCTATATTCCATATTCCAGCCCCCGCTCACGAATGATGAATGAAGATCATGTCACCACTATCCCTACTATCACCTTCCAGTGGCTTCCCAGCTTACTGACAACAAAGCCACACTCCTAACCGTGTTCCGAGACCTTGCATGATTCGATTCCTGCTCATTTCCTCCCTGTGCATGCACACTATCTCACGGCAACTCCGTCTTCTTTTATCTCAGATGCCAAGGACTCTGCCCTTGCTGGTCCTCTGCCTGAAAAGCACTTTTCCCAGATCTCAAAATGGGGGACTCTCCTTGCTGGGCAAGGTCATCTCATACAGGTCCTCCCCAGAGGGTCCATCTGTGACTTCCTGAACCAAAGTAGTGTCTTCCCCTGGGCACTTTCCGGCAGTTTTATCTAACTGGTTTCCCTGTTTAATTTTTGTCTAGCACTGCCACTAGCAAAATCTAATTCCCATGGAAGGGGAGTTTTTATCTTTTCTACTGTTGGGTGCAGGGCAGGCTGAACAGATGTTGGCTGCAAGATAGCCCACACACTCAAACCCCCCTCTGTCTGGTCCTTTATCACCTGTTTGCCTCAAGTCTGAACATTCAACCCTGCTTAAGGCTGAACACTTAACCCCCCCCCCCTTGGGCCAACAAGGCAGCTTGCAGACCCAGAGGCCCCATTAGATTTGGGCTATAAAAACTCCCTCCTGCCAGGCCCCCCTCTCTCTCCCCCTCTCTCTTGCTCTCTCTCTCTTGCTCTTTCTCTCTCCCTCTCTCTCTTGCTCTTTCTCTCTTGCTCTCTCTCTCTTGCTCTTTATCTTTCTTACGCGCGCTCTCTGTCTCTCTCTTGCTCTTGCTCTCTCCCTGTTCATCTCTTCTCTTTTCTCTCTCTCTCTTTCCTTCTTTCCTTTCTTTTTGTTGCACTGCTGCAATAAAGATCATTTGGTTGCTCCGAGTGTTGTGGTCACTTTCCTTTCATTGGTGCCGAAACCCGGGAGAGGGTTAAAACCCACTTTTGGGTCCCTCTTCCTTCGGAAGTGCCACTCACCGGATGGCCTGAACCCATTTTCTCGACTGCCAGAACTTCATCCACCACCGACCTTCGATTGGTGAATTTCCCCTTCCTGGAGTCCTAAACCCAATGGTGGTGTCAGGAGGATTTGGCCGTTGATTGTCCGGCAAACCTCTTTGCCCACCTGCGGGGAGGAAAACACCCCACCACAGCCTTTAAGGCTACGGTGGCCCTCAGGGACTCCTTCCTAGGGCAGAATAGACTCCTGGGTTCAAAATTATTCCCTTCCCTTCCCAGCTGTTAGTTACCAGCATAGGCTTTGTAGGTCTCCCTCAAAGAACTGTTTAACCTCCAGGGACACATAACACAGAACTGAACATCACACCCCACCCAGACCCTCACCATCTTGGTGGCTCTCCTAAAATCCTAGTCCTCAGACACTTACCCTCCCCTTCCTCCCTCTTCCCCTGTCTCTCTCTTTCCCCTCTTTCCGGCTCTGCAAGTCTCCGGCCTCTCCAGGAGGGGTCCCGAAAAGAAAAGCCTTGGCCAAGGTCTCCCACGGCTCCAGCTCCGTCCAGGACGAGAGCTTCGACTGTCAGGATTTGGTGACGACCAATCTCTGCAGCTCGAACCTGCCACTAAGGCACTCCTGATTTTTGGCTCTAGCGGGGACGCCCCTTTTGCCAATAAATCAGTTTCCTCCTTCTCTCTTATACTACGGTTGCGTCTCCTTCCTTCTCCCCTACACTACGTTTGCGTCCTCTTCCCTCCTCCTTATACTACTTTGCGACATGGGTAATGTGTCCTCTCTGCTGGTCGACTCTCCCCTACAATGCCTCTTGGATAACCTCAAAACCCTCTCCTTGACACCAGACATCAAACCCCCAAAATTGATCAAATATAGCACCCAGGCCTGGCCCACTTATCCCTTAGACAACCAAAGCAAATGGCCCCCCTTTTGGGTCCCTGGATCCTTCCATTCTAAGGGATCTCTACAATTACTGTGAGCATTCGAAAAAATGGGTAAAAAGCTGCTATATCAAAGCTTTCTTCTTGCTTGTGCTCTCTGCACCTCTTGCAGACCTGTGCAAATTCTTCTAGCTTGCAAACCAACACCCACAACCACTGATCCCCAATCTCCTCCTCCTCCGGACTCATCTACTACTTTTGACCCTACTGATGAATTTCCACCCTATCGCCCGGCTCAAATAGGTCCTCACCCTCAACCTTCTGCCCCAGCCCCTCCACTGTCTCCCCCACCTGAAGTGACTTCTCCTCTCCACTCACTAGATCAAAAACCTAAACAACCGTCTTTCCTCAAAACATTGCCTCTTTTCTGAGGTAGCAAGTACTGAAGGAATCCCTTCACTCACTCACTCCTCTCTTCTTCTGTCAGTGCCCACACCGGGTCCCACTGGGTCCTCTTACCAGCTAACCCAAAGCTCAAACCAGCTGAGGAGAGCCCTTGGACCCCTATCAGAGATCTGGTGAAAATGGCCTTTAAAGTTGCTTTGTCATCACTGAAAACAGGTTACTAAGAATTGTCCCTTACAGGCTTTTTTGGGATATTCACTCCCATCCTCCCCTCTGCTCTACCTGTTCTACTGCTCAAGTTTTCCTTGCTAGGGAAAATCCTATTCTTTTACATCACTCCTTCCTCATTCTCAGATCCACCAAGCTGCTCTCAGCCCACCTTCCTGTCTTCCCCTCCCTACCAGGCCCACAGAAAAGTCTTAACTGACCTTCTCCAGAAATCTTCACCATGGCTGATTTTAGGACTTTCAGCAAAAGAATCTCTACAAAAAGTTCAATTTGTAGATAAACTTCCTATTTTCCTGTTGCCCTGTTTTACTTGGTCACTGGCTGGAAAAATCAGCACTCCAGGCGCTGGACATCCCCTTACTAGTTTTTCACAAAATATGTAAAACAAGGCTTCTGGCCTTGAGCTGGGGCTTCACAAAAAAAAGCTACATGTCTAAGATAAGGAGGTTACCAACTGGGCTCCATGATAACAGCTGGAGGGGATGGGGAGGGTGGGGGGAAGAGGAGAAAAAGGGAAGAAAAAGCTCTCCCCCTCCCAAGTGTCCTTGAAGGGTTAACTTGCCCAGAACAGAGGAAAAAAACCCTGCTTTTTGTGAACTTCTACAGACTGTGAACTTCTGAGCCCCTTCCCTTACATGTTGGGTACAAAATTCTGAAACAACCTAAACTTGGGGCTCAGGGGATTAATTGATTACAGCAGAAGATGTGCCCTCTAAATCCAGCTGCAACCAAATAAAACTATTTCCCTATCTTCAGTGCTATCTTAGGTGCCTTGCCTTGTCTGTCCCTACAACAGTATAATTCTATATACTTAAACATTGTTCATGTTTTCATGAAATGGTCAACAGATGTGATTAATTGTGTGCTGCAAATAACAAAATATCTCTTATTAAAATGAAATAATTTGCCTAAATTCAGAAATTTACAAGGATTATTTAAAAATGTAAAAAAAAAAGAAAGAGTTAACAAATATGAAAGAGAAATTAGAAGGTTCTAGGTATGGATTTAATAGAAGGAAAATGTGTTTCTGGATAAGAGAGTCTGTTAAGTAAATAAGAGGGTTTAAGTAAGTGCTAAAGAAGGTCTGTATGTACAACTATGGTTAAACAACAACTGTTATTTTGCAATATTGTAATATGTTATTTCTCTAAAAGCTAAACTTGATTAATATAAAAACATCAGTAGTAATTGTGGTACTATTACTCTTCTTTGTATATTGAATGTGCTCATATTTTCCAGGTATATGTCATTAAGATAGAAGCTTTAAAAAAGCTATATCAAGCTGGTGTTCTCCAAAAGGTTGCATGGTTATTTTAGGCTTATAAAAATAACATATTGGAGATTTATTTATATCATTTAATGTTTTATAACTGGACCTGTTATCAATAAGATTAATATAAAGTTCTATACACTGGGTATAATTTAAATGTAATATACTGTATTACCTAGTATTCATGTGACATCAAACAATAATATATGTAAATTTTATAAAATAATATTAAAAAAAAAGATCGGCTTCAATACTAGAACACTTTACCTAAGATTTATAAATCTTAGCCTTACCTGGGATAAGGCTGTGCTTCCCATCTTAATACATGTCAGGATGACTCCAAAGTAGGCCAGACTTCAGCTAAAGCCCAATACTCTTAATTTATGGTGAAACTGACTTTGCTAGATGTTTATGATCAAGACTTAAAGTTAAATTAAAATGGCCAAAAAAACCAATATTTGGCTCTGGCCCTCTGAGTCAGTCTGAATCCAGGGAACAGGGAACTTCTCTAAAGAGCTTTGCAACTCTGGGCCACATAACCTCCTGATCAGGGAGATTAATGAGACCACTGGAGAATAAAAAGCCAATCAGTGCATTTGCTGTAAATAGGAGGGTCATTGGAGACAGGAGACATCCCTGATGCTTCCAAGGGAAGCCACATGGTCAAGCAAGACCTGGACCCATCCTAGCGCAATGGCACTAGCAGAACTAAGAAGCCACTCTCAGGTTCCCCCACGAGCGACCTCTATGGGAACTCAGCTGACTCTTAACAATAGATAGAAACAAAGTCACTTTTGACCAACTTGATCTTAAACACCTACCAAAACCAGTTAAGCCAAAACCAGTCATTCCTGGGAGTAATGAAGGACAAGAACAGCTAGAAAAGAGGAGACAGCAACTAAGCCAACAGGCTCCATGGGGAATGTTCAGTTAAGTATGGCCTTGGCTCCTCCCCCTCACAGGACCCCTATTAGTCCTCTCTATGTTTCTCCTAATAGAACCATGTCTATTAAATTGCCTACAGAAGTTCATGCAAGATCAGATACAGAAATTCACCAACAAGCTGGTCAATCAACTACTTCTTTAAGACTACCAGCCCTGATGCCCAAGATGGACACCTACGACTCATGACCAACTCCTCTGGCTCCAGAGACACTGTGCCCATCTAAAACCCTCTCTAACCCTTTTTCCAATTTTCACAACCCCTCTTTCACTTCCTAGGAATGAGAACTACTCTCCAGCACGTCCACTGTGCTTATTCTGTCTGCTCTACAGTATCCCCACAAGGAAGCATCAAACCTAAACTCCCCCTGGTACCACCATGTCTCCCACCTTAAAAAGGCACTTGTTCCAAATGTCCAGTCCTGGACTTCTACCATGCCCACCAAACTCAAAATTTCTTGCCAACCCTCTTCTTCTTTTACTAATCATTATTCTCTCTCAAGTTTTTATCTCAAACCACAGATACTGCTTCTACATCAATGTGACATGACACCGGGATGACACCACCCACTCTCAGTTTATGGGTCAAGGCGATTGCCCTTCCACTGGCTGCAAGCGGTCTGTCACCCTTAACATTACTGGATTCAACCAAGCCACCTCCAATACTTCCTAGAGTCCCTGCTACAGGACCAGTGGCTGACACCAAGAATCTCCTCCATCTATGACTGGTGTGATGCCATCGAGGACTTGTGGCTTCAAGGAACTTTTATGGACTTTACCCCTACCACAGTAGTTGTCTGTAGCCACTGAGTGTTATTTCTGGCTGCCCTGGTGTTCTCAGACCTGTCCCCCGAACATTCCTCCACTTCCCCTTCTAGGTCTAACGCCGCCCACCATTAATCAGGAAGAAGCCAGAGGACTTTATGCCGTCCCCCGTGTCACTTAAAAAAACAAAAAGGGAGGAATGTTGGGTGCAGGGCAGGCTGAACAGATGTTGGCTGCAAGATAGCCCACACACTCAAACCCCCCTCTGTCTGGTCCTTTATCACCTGTTTGCCTCAAGTCTGAACATTCAACCCTGCTTAAGGCTGAACACTTAACACCCCCTTGGGCCAACAAGGCAGCTTGCAGACCCAGAGGCCCCATTAGATTTGGGCTATAAAAACTCCCTCCTGCCAGGCCCCCCTCTCTCTCCCCCTCTCTCTTGCTCTCTCTCTTGCTCTTTCTCTCTCCCTCTCTCTCTTGCTCTTTCTCTCTTGCTCTCTCTCTCTTGCTCTTTATCTTTCTTACACACGCTCTCTGTCTCTCTCTTGCTCTTGCTCTCTCCCTGTTCATCTCTTCTCTTTTCTCTCTCTCTCTTTCCTTTCTCTTTGTTGCACTGCTGCAATAAAGATCTTTTGGTTGCTCCGAGTGTTGTGGTCACTTTCCTTTCATCTACCACTGTGGCTTCAATGCCTAGAAGGACACCTGGCTCATAATAAAAAGGGCTATGAGTTCATACTGTTGTTCCAAGATGCTCCTCCAAGGCAACAGCTGCATTCCTGTCCTTTGTTCACCAGGCCACAGCCCCCACATCCTCTGAACCCTCTCAGTGCTATCTGGCTTATTAGTGACGTGTGTGTGTGTGTGTGTGTGTGTGTGTGTGTGTCTATATCTCCCACCAAAATTAAGCTCCACAAGGACAAGAATGGCTGTTCACTGGTGGATTCCCACTGCTAATGCAATGTCCCACAGTAGTGCCTGGCACATCATTAAGAGTTTAATAAGTACTTACTGAATGACTACAGGAATGACTGTTTGAAGGTAGTTAGGAATTAGCCAGCTGAGTGTTCCAAGCCGTGGACAAGGTACTTAATAGGCCATCTCCTACATGGTGAATATTGTTCCTCAGCTATAGAGTAAAGAAACAAGATTTTACAGGGATAAATAACTTGCCTTTCCAGCTCCCTTTATACCACAGGGCTGCCCTGTAGAAAGCCATGTCACAATGCCTGGAAGGGGAACTTCCAGGGTGGGGCTGTTGCCTAGCAGCCAGTCTGACACACCCTCATTTTCTTGCTTAAAGTCTACCCAGGAGAGGGTGAATTCATGGAGATAGAGTATGACAGAGCCATGCTTCTTGAAAATCTCCCAGATGATTTTTTCTTTTCCAGACCTCGGAAATCAACAAATTTTAAGTTAGAGGAGCAACCTGGGAGTGTGATATTCAAATCCCTGCTACAGACCAGCCCGCCATTCGGTTGGAAATTTGGTCATGGTAATCTCATTTTTGTCTAGTACATTAATGAAAATTCATCCCTTCAGTATTGGGGTCTAATTGGAAAGAGGTGGCACATACGCAGGATTCCCCAAGGAGCCTGGTCCGGGCAGGGACCGGAGGAAGCATGTTTTTATTATTATTATTTGAATGAAGAGACTCTTAGAGGTGTTGCAGGCCTGGCACAGGGGTGGAAGACGGGAAGTGCATTAACGTTGGTGAGGTGACAAGTATAGGTTAATCATCTGTTGTGCCAGCTTTGGCCCTGAGTTCACTCCTCAATTCTCAAGGCAGCCAGAGGAAGAAAGAAATGAGTGGTGCCATTTTATAGACAGACCAAGGCTTAGGTAGCTTAAGTAACTTTCAAAAGATCAGACAGCTAGTAAACAACAGACCAACTTATTAGTACTCAGTTCAAGGGGCTTCAAAGAAGTTCACTCTACCCCCAGGTGGGAGAGTCTGGGATGTAAGAAGGTCTGGAAGGTGGGATTGAGCAAGTCAATTTTTCTTCCCTCTGTCTCCCTTGTCCAGACCCACCTATCCAGGGTTTGTATTCCCTGGACCAGGTGTTCTCAGCCTTCTTCAGATCCAAGACCTGTTTTAAGGGGGAAAAAATATGGTATAATACAGCCTTTGTTAATCTATAATTGACTTCATAGAGAATGTAACCTACCTCACATAATTTCACACACAACTCAATGGGATGCCATGATTGTAATATAGAGGAGAAAAACTCAGAAGACACTATGTGTTTCAGCTTATCAGTGCTCAGACATACCAACTGTGGAGGACAGTGAAGTCGTCAGGCTGCTGCCCAACATACTGCACAATGACTATGTCTAGAATTAAGAAGATCCAAAGTCATTCCACACAAGCTGTTCAAGGAAATAGAAGAGCCTAGTTTTCAGTGGACACCAAAACAAAAGCTAGAGTTAAAGAACTAGAACCCTTCCGACTTACTGGTTTCTGATGACAGAAAACAAGCCAACAGCTTTAACTGAAGCTTTAGCAGAAACAGGGACAGTACCTAGACAAATCATAAACCACTGAAGTCAAAAAGGAGAGGAGGGATGTGAATTTATTATTCTTGAGGAAACTGTGAATTGGCTAGGCCTGCCAAATTTTAAAAAATAAATTATTTTATTGTTTTATAATATATATCAAAAGAGTCTAAATCATAACTGAACACATTGGTGAAATATTCCAGGCAAAAGAGTCCTATTCATATTCATTATCAGCCTGCTCCACCAAATGTCTCCCCATATTGCTTTCTAATTCATAGATTATTTTTAATATATCTTTAAATTTTATATAAATTGATTTATGCAGTGTGCAGACGTCCATGTCTGAATTACTCCATACAACATTGTGAGATCATATTACTGCCTGTGCAGGGTTTTGTTCAAGTTCATTGCTATAAAATAGTCATTTATATAAGTATTCCACAGTTTGTTCTTTCCATTCTATTGTTTATAGGCATTTTTGTTTCCGATTTCTTCATCAGTTTCTGCCTCTGCCTCTTGAGTAGCTGGGACTGCTCAAGTAATAGTCCACACTTGACTTTTGATTTTTATGATTTTTTTTCATCGTATATTGATTTTCACCTTCGTAAAGGTCTATATTTGCTGAAATTCATTCAATTTCATTATCTGCCATTATCTCTTCAACTCTTGCATCTACCACACTCTCTGTCTCCATCTTTTATGGAATTCCAAATAAAAATGTATCCAAACTTTTCATTGTTACTCATCGTACTATCATTGTACTTACTCTTACACTATTTTATGTATTTTCTACCCTTTTGCTTCTCCAAGCTTAAGTGTGGATACTTTTGTCGGATCCATTATCCATTTCATTTATTCTTTTTTTAATTGATTTTATTTTTTAAATACATGAGAGGAGAATGCATCACAATTCTTATTACACATTAGAGCACAATTTTTCATAAGTATGTTCACACCAATTCGTGTCTTCATATATGTACTTTGGATAATGATGTACATCACATTCCAACATCATTGCTAGCCTGCCCCCTTCCTTCCCCTCCCACCCCTCTGCCCTATCTAGAGTTCATCTATTTGTCCCATACTCCCTCTCCCTATCCCACTATGAATCAGCCTCCTTATATCAGAGAAAACATTTGGCATTTGATTTTTTGGGATTGGCTAACTTCACTTAGCATTCTCTTCTCCAACTCCATCCATTTACCTGCAAATGCCATGATTTTATTCTTTTTTATTGCTGAGTAATATTCCATTGTGTATATATATATGCCACATTTTAAAAATCCATTTATCTAGTGAAGGGCGTCTAGTTTGGTTCCACAGTTTAGCTATTGTGAATTGTGCTGCTATAAACATTGATGTGGCTGTGTCCCTGTAGATTGCTGTTTTTAAGTCCTTTAAAAGGAATAGCTGGGTCAAATGGAGGTTCCATTCCCAGTTTTCCAAGAAATCTCCATACTGCTTTCCATATTGGCTGCACCAATCTGCAGTCCCACCAGCAATGTATGAGTATGCCTTTTTCCCTATATCCTCGCCAACACTAATGAACAATTGATAAATTTGCCATCAATCTGGATGTAGGTGGGCCCATATTGACACATGAACAGGAAATTAATGAGGAATTTATCTTTCCTTTTAATACAATGGAAATTTTATTGACTTTGTTTTTAGGGTCTGGTTTATTTTCTTTTAGCCTCTTACCTCAGAAGCCATGCATTTACTTCATGGTCACACATTTCCTTGTTTTCTTTTGCTTCCAAATGTTTGCCAGGCGACTAGTCCTGTTGCTGTCTCCAAATCTCAAGCCAAGCATGGTTATTTTAAATTCCACATTTAATGGAATTTGAATTTCCTTGGGGTCTATTTCTACTACTCTTACTGATTTATTTTAGTATGAGCAGTTATTCTATATTGAAAGTCAAACATGTGCATGGAAAAATATCAGTTCAGGGTCTCAATGTTATTATCTTCAAAGATAATTTACTTCTGTCTCTTGCATGCAATAAGGGGAGAAGCAAATTATTTTAGTGCAATTGGGAATTGAGTTGATGCAAAGTTGGATTTCAGAGGCTTTTGAGAGCTCATCTATTTCTTTTTACTGTCATTTCCAGGGTTTATCTCTTTAGAGACCTAACTAGAATTCTAGGGTGTTTTCCAATCTCCCCCTCTTCATAGCCAGCCTAATTTTTCCCCAGTTCTCAAACCATCTGTCTAAAGCTCTGCTCAAATACTCTACTTCAGCTTTTTAATTAGCAAATGTCCAAAGAGAACAACACACCAACTGTTGGACTCACCCCTCGGTGGAGTTTGATCTTGTTTTTGTAAATCTCTGGGATTTAGTCCCTGCATTTTTTTTTCTTCCTTAATATCTCTGATAACTTGAAACATATTTATTTATTATGTCCAGCTTTTCTACCCAGGTTTTCTTGGCTAGGAGATTAGTCTGAAGTAGATCAGTCTATCGATGTAGAAATTGGTTGCCATATCTTCAGCACACTTTATGAGATGTCTCTTGACATCTCATACTAATGCAAATGCTATTTTTAAAAAACACTCTTTCATCCAAATTCAAATTCAATCTGAGAACTTACAAATGTTAAAATTACCTAAAATATTAATGAAAGTGATAAGTTATAAAATCAGTATCAACATCTCTTTACATTCTATTTACCATTGGTATTGCCATAATCATAATTTGAGTAGCAGAATGCTTGGAGTAAACTGAACAACGACTTTGAGATTCTATCTTTATTCCTTTTAAGCTTGGCTCCTCCTAACAACTTTCTATATTACTGGGCTTTCTACATTATCTCTTGGGAAAAAAAATTAGTACTAATAAATATAAGTACTTCCAGTTTTGCAGGACATTTGAATGTTATATGGTACATGAAACAATTCATTATATAACTGGACAATGCATTGCAGGATGTTTAGCCTCTGTGACCAGTTGACCAGAAGCATCACCTTAATAATTTTTAAACAAAAATGCTTTCCCCAACTGGAAGGAATGATTTTTTTTTGTACCAGGGATTGAACCCAGGAGCACTTAACCAATGAGCCACATCCCCAGAGATACAGGGTCTTGTTAAGTTGCTTAGGGCCTCACTAAGTTGTTGAGGCTGGCTTTGAACTCACAGTCTTCCTGCCTCAGCATCCCAAGCTGGTGGGATTAAAGGTGGATGCCATGGTTGAAAGAAAGGATTTTGACTGTTCTAATTATAAAGAGATGATAAATGTTTGAGGCCAAAGATATGCTTACCCTGATTTGCATATTACACTATGTAAACACATGCTGAAACATCACATGGTAATCCATAAATATGCAGAATTATTATGTGCCTATTTAAAACATAAAAAATGTTTTAAATGCAAACCAAAAATAAGTGCTTCCACAATTTTCCAAAATATACTTTAGGCCTCAGTATCACTTTGGGGGGGAATTTTTATTAGATATATAAAATTCAGAATTTTATAGATTATAAATTAATGAAGGGGCTGGGGTTGTGGCTCAGTGGTAGAGAGCTCGCCTACCATGTGTGAGGCTATGGGTTCAATCCTTAGCACCACATAAAAATAAATAAATAAAATAAAGGCATTATCTCCATCTACAATTAAAAATATTTTTTAAAAAAATTAATTAATGAAGATACTGCTAACCCAGAGTGTATGTGGATCCCAAGTCATCTTTAAGGGGCCAAAGGGCAGTATGAACTGGTTACATTATGTCTCCTGTTACCTCCCACACCTGGATAACTCCTAAGGCCAACTTAAAATCCAGTGAAACAAGTTAGTGTTAACATCCAAGACAAGTCAACAACAAACAGACTGATGTTTTTTCTTGGGTTAGGATGGATGGTGTGCTCATAAGCTAGATGGACATTATCTTCAGTAATGACCACCTCTTGTGTGATCAACTACAAAGTACCAGGCAATGCATTGATATGATTCTATTACCTTAATCCTTTCAGTATCCCTACAAAAAGGTAATAGAGATAAGCAAAAGGGGGTTTCAAATTAAAGGACTGCTCAGGATTTTTTTAAAAAAATATTAAGCATTTGTATGATTCCACTGCACTCTAACTGTTCCACTCAGAGCCACCAATCTTTAAAAAAAAGACTCATGCTGGTCTCCATCTTCTCCACCCCACCTCACTTCACAGGATCCCCAACCTCCTTCTCCTCCCACCCCAGGAAGGTAGGAGGAGCAACCTAATTGGAAGGGGCTGAAAATAGGTAAAAGGGCCTAAGAGGGACCTGGCAAGGAACTAGATCTCAGCTCAACGCCCCTGGCACTCCCCTGCCCACCCTCCTACCCCAACCTTGAACTTCCTTCCATCCTTGAAGTTCAGACTTGGGGTACTGAACCCCCTCTCTACCTCTTCAGCAGTGCAATCCTCCTGGCGGTTTCCAAACCCTTTGCCACCCCCCCTTGCCCACTCAGCCCCTCCAGCTGGGCGTCTAACAGACCATCTACCCCTGGCCCAGCTGCTGAACTCACTGCCCTCTGGGTTCTCTGCCCAGAGGTGAGGACTCTCACCTCCTGCTCAGCACTGCCACTTGCTGGCAGCCAGGATCTGCACCTCCTCCCAACCTCCCCAGCTGGGGCCAGGCAAGAGCCTCTGTTCCCTTGACTACACAGTACACAGAGCTACAGGAGCTGTGGGAGATGTGCTCCAGCAGAGCTGGTGAGGAGGCATGCAGAGGAGTCCAGAGCACAGGGAAGGAAAAGGCTGGTGAGGCTGGGAAGGCTGGAGGGGAGAGAAGTGCAGTTGGCCCCTAGGCGGAGTTTGGTCTGTTTTTTTTTGTGAGAACTCCTTGGGGTTCAGGCCTCTGTTCTGTCTGGACTCTCATCTCCTCCAACAGCTTGCAGAGACCCGGTGCCTTCCCTAACCTGGAGTTTGTTCTTTCTTGATTTTCAGGGATGCCGAGTAACTACTCCTTTGGATCATGCCAACCCAGGAGGCTCTTTCCTCACTTCTATCCCCCAAACCGGATGGGGAACAACTTTCTCCCTCTTAGGGGATTTCCTCACACAGGGCCTGGAAGTTACATGACAGATGTGAGTATTCACTTTCCCTTACAAGGATCTGTTTTCTGGATGTGGAAGGGAGACCCAAGTCCCCTGGAAAACAAACGCTAGGCTTTGTGATCTTCTGGGTCAGAGCATGAGAAAGTGCTCAGTGGGCAACCAGCTGTCCCAGCCAATACAGAGAGTAAAGGACCATGTTTCCACCCAAGGCAAGCAAGCCTTGTCTCCATATGGTCCCACTCCATCCCCACCTCAAAGGCTCTGAGACAAGGCCAGTTCCTTCCCACTGGCCCTACCTTCAGGCTGCCAGGTGCAACTGGAACAAGTTCAGACCTATGAGATTCAGAGGATGGAATTTATTAGAATGCACAAAGATGTCATTTATTCTACCTGTCCAACCACATCCCTCTTTTAATCAGCTTTTGCCTTGCTGCTACCAAAAGACCTGATAAGAACAATTTTAAGGAGGAAAAGTTTATTTCAGGGGTCATGGTTCAGAGGTCTCAGTCCATAGATGGCCAGCTTCATTCCTTGGGGCCTGAGGGGAGGCAGAACATCTGGTGCAAGAAAGCAGCTCAGAACATGAGGGTCAGGAAGCAGAGAGAAAGCTCTGCTCATAAGAACATAACATAAATCCCAAAGCACACCCCAGGCACCCACTTCCTCTAGGCACACCCTATCTGCCTAGAGTTATCACAAGTTAATCTCTATGCTGGGGAGGGGAATTTAAGCGCTGATTAATCAGCTCAAGGATGTTGGAACAAAATCATTTCACCTCTCTACTTTCTTGCATTGTCTCATAAATGAGCTTTTGGGGGACATCTCACATCTAAACTATGACACAACCCCTTGCAAAATTACATGTATTATTTATGTGATTATTGTGTGGTATTGACCTTGAAGGAGTCAAGAGAGAAAGAACAATGTCTTACAGAGTAGTTCAGATGAAGGCTGTTCACTGTGGTATTGATGTTTTTCTTTACTCCTTCTCTCTTTTTATTCATATGTTACTACTTGAAGTCCTATGGCTTGGCATACAACTTAACCAAGATTCCAACCAGTACAAAAGGATATACTCTTGGAGCCAGAACAGCTATGAGGTTTAAGCCAGTCAACAAGGTAAAATGCTGGGATTTTATGATGATCCATGTGACTGCATGAAAAGTTTGGGCATTAGCTTTGCAGAAGTGTGTGTATATTGGGAAGAGCAAAAACAGTTCACTGAGAAAAATAGTCCTAACAAAGGATTTTAGTGCTGAGATGCATGAGGTCAAAATACTGGAAAATGTATTTATGTACATCATATTATCCTGTCAGTTAAAAAAACAGGTTCTAACTTTTCTATCCTTTTGTGAGATTGCATTTTAAGTCTAATCTTTAGTAAAGGATCCTAATCTCTTTCTCTCACTCCCTCCCTCCCTCTCCCCCCCACCTCTCTTTCTCTCATGAAGTGGGTAGGGATGGGACCCAGGGACTTACTAGGCAAGTACACCACCACTGAGCTACATCCTTGGATCAAGGATCCAAAACTATGATTGGATGTTTACTTTCATGGAAACTCAAGGGATACTGGCTCTCAAAATTTCTCAGTGGGACCAGGGGCATAGTGACTGCAAAAGTTGTCTTGGTCCTCTGCTCATCCTAGGTTTATACATCCAGCATGACTGACTCACATCTATAGCTTGGTTTTCTATCCACATAAGCCTATTTGTATATCTTGAAATGGCTGAACCATAGCTGATGTATAAATAGGAAAAGGACAGTTGAGGTTTTTTGAACTGCAAGCATTTCTGTGTAGGTATGTCTCCCTTTAACACATTGAATTTTTTTCTTGGTAATAGGAATTGACACTTCACCCAGGCAAGTACCAGAGAGTAGAAAATTGGAAGGAAAAAACAAAGCAAAGTTTTGTTCCATTTAATGCCTTGATGCCTCGATTTCAGAGCTATACAAAAGACAATTTCCCTGGGTATGTCTCCTCTTTTCTCTAGTATAGTTCATCAGTAAGCAATAGGAAAAGAAGTCCATAAATCAGTGATTATAACAAAACCATCCCACTCAATAAGAAACCACCCATCTTTAAAGATTTAATCCTGTTATCTCCCAGGTCTCTGGCCTTGTGTAATTGCAAAATCACAGTTATTCATCCAGTCAGTATTTATCAAGATGCCAAATAGTTTGGGTTTGTTTGTTTATTTTTGTTTGTTTTGTTTTCCCAGTACTGGAGAATGAATCTCTGAGCCACATCTCCAGCCCCATTTACATTTTTATTTTGAGACAGAATCTCACTAAGTCACCTAGGCTGACCCCAGACTCACAGTCCTCCTGCCTCAGCCTCCTGAGTCCCTGATAGGACAGATCTGTGCCATGACACCTGGCTACTTTGTAGTTTGTACTTAGTAGGTTGCAAAGTTCTTGCAGTAAACCCACCTCATGAGGTTCTGAGCTTGGAGTCTAGAGTCCAAATAGATGAGAAGTAAATACACAAGGAAATACCAGTAGTAGTAAAGACGGTGACCATGTAATTTATCTGTCCAACTGTGACACTTCTGAGAGTGAAAGGGAAGCAACCATGAGCTGGGGCTGTTGTGGACAAACCAAAAAGTACAGTGACCGGGAAAGGTGCTATGAGAAACTTTAAACAGGACCATGATGTGAAGGCAGTGGGTGGTTAAGAAAGGATGCTCTGAGCACATCCACTTGATCTGATTTTTGAGTGACAAGATTGAGCCAGCCCTGGGAAGATCTGGAGACAGAGCATTCCAGGCAGAAGAGGTCGGAAGTGCAAAGGCTGTAAATTGGGAAGAACTTGGTGTGAGGGAAAGAAGAAGAAGGCTCCTATGGCTAGAGGGCAGTGAGCAAGAAGGAAGAGAAGAGAGGGAGGGGCAGGTAGAGTAGAGAGGACTTTGGGGGTCAAGGGGCTTATTCTTAATGTGTTCGGAAACGACTGGGAATGTATGAAATTGCACAGCAAAGGGTCAGGGTCTTTCTTTTACTGATGAGAAGTCCAAAGATCATACAGTGAAAGTAACTTTTTCAAGTTTGTGTTAAGAAAGTTGAAGTGTTGAATCTTGACCCCCATGTCCACTACAGTAGAATTAACACCCGAAGATAATTTTTTTTAAATTTTGTATTTGTTCTTTTCAGTTATACATAACTGTAGAATATATTTTGACATATCATAGATACATGGAGCATAACTTCCCATTCTTGTGGTTGTACATGATATGGAGTTACAAAAGTTCATTCTTCCTGATGGCTGAGACATATTACATATGTATATATACCAGATTTTCTTTATCCATTCATGTGGTGAAGGGCATCTAGGTTGGCTCCATAGCTTAGCTATTGTGAAGTGAGCTGCTATAAACATTGATGTGGCCATGTCACTATAATATGCTGATTTTAAGTCTTCGAGGTATATGCCATGATTGGGTAACTGGGTCAAATAGTGGTTCCATTACAAGTTTTCTGAGAAATCTCCATACTGCTTTCCAACATTCAGTGCCACCAGCAATGTATGAGTGTACCTTTCCCCCGACATCCTCGCCAATATTTATTATTACTTGTATTCTTGATAATTGCCATTCTGACTAGAGCGAGAAGAAATCTCAGTGTAGTTTTCAAAAGACACAAGTTTGAGGAACAAAGGCAATTCTAAATAATCCATGGCCAAGAAATTTAATTGGTTCCGCTTTGATGTCCCTAGATTGCAGATTGATTGTTTCAGCATTTTTAACCACCAACTTCAAATCAAAGAACTAATTTACCATTATCAAGGATCTCTTCTATCAACACCTCTTTAGAGATCTTCTGGTGCCCAGCTCAGAACACTGAATTATACAAATATTTTTTAAAAGCAGTCTTTACCTTAGCTAATAAGAAATTCATTAACAAGCAAAAGAACCCCACGCTTGCCCAGCATTAAAAACTTAATCATTCTATTGCCTTGTCCCAAGAGGTTAAACCTACTTCAGCGATGGCCATGCTACCTACTAGTGGAGTTTGTCCTATGCCACTGACTCATTAGACATGATGTTTGTATTTTTTTTATTTCTAGGCCTGGTACATACAATCCAGAGAAAAAGCCATTCCCAAAAATTACTTGGCCAATGAAATTTGGATCTCCAGATTGGGCTCAGGTTCCAAGTCTACAGAAAAGAACTCTAAAAGCTGAGGTAATAAGATTGGATTTCTGTAGATCACTCTATCCAATATGTTCATATATATCAAGGGTTAATAACCAGAAGCTTGTAAATGAAGTTCATGGTCCCTGAAATTATATGCACAATTTTGTGTGCATAGAAATATGAGGATCCTTTTGAGAGAGTTACATAGTTTCAATACATTTTTAACAGTGTATAGGACTGACTTAAAGTCATGTTTTCTTATTTGTTCATCAAGTCATCTTTTGGAGTAGGTTAAATATCCCTTTAAGACAATGGATGATACTGGAACCCAGGAAGATTGATTCATACAGGTTCTACAACTGGAATCCAGACCTTTGACTCCTAATGCAGTGCTCTTTCTTACATAAAGTTGAGTGTTAAATGATTGGAGGGTTATAGAGCACTCTGGTTAAGAGCACAGACTCTGGGGATAATACTGCCTGAGTTCAAATACCAGCTCCTGTGTAGACTTGCTATGTGATCTTAGGCAAGTCCTTGAACTTTTCTAAGCATCTGTTTTCTTACCTTTAAAATGAAATAATAACAGAGTTGATCTGATATGGTTGTAAAGATTAATAATGGAGAGAATGTATAAAAGCATTTAACATAGTAAAGATAACATATGCTTCCGTCCATGCTAGCTATCATACTTCTTGAAGTACCCTTCTTTCCTAGTGGAATTTAGGATTAATTCCGCAAATATTTATATTTGCGGAATTCATATAATTGTGCTAAGGCATATAGGTAACATTAATAATTAATATAACATATTAATACAATTGTGCTAAGACATATAGGTAACATTCAAGAATTAGACATATAATCTGTGTCTTCAAGAAGCCAAGCAACTTTTTTTTTTATCATAGTGAGATGATAAATGTAGATGTGCACAAATGTTGAGAAAATGACTAAGGCTGGATTACTAGAAACTGGGGTTTACCTGGGCCACACAGCTAGAATGTATGCTTCAATTTTGCATGCAAGGTCCTGTGTTCAATCCCCAGTGCCACACACACACAGGAAGGCAGAGGATTCTCATTAGAACATTGTCTTTCATTGCAGCTGTCCACAGACAAAGAATTTAGAAAGCATCGGAACCGAGTTGCTTACTTAAGCCTGTTTTACGATTGAGCAGTGATCACTTCCTTCACATGCTTCTCCTGATCACAGACTCTTCAGAATAGAGGACAGAGCTGCTCTTGGTCTGCATCACCACGGCCCTCATGTCTTTCAGCCCTGGGCCCAGAACGTGTTAAGGGCCTCACAACTGAGATTTCTGAGCATAAAAACTGGTTCCAAGTGTTCTGTCTCCTGCTGCTGGTTTATGATCTGGGGGTTCCTGGTGGGTGTTCAGGTGGATGGTCTCATTTGAGTGAAATACTCTGGGGCCCTTGCCCTTTATTCACAACTCCCAGGGACCAGCCTTATATGTTCTACAACTAGCTCTGGTAATATGTAGCTGTTGGCCTACATGTATCAAGAGCTTGGATGGGATGTGGGCTTGCTAGACATGGAGGATGCTTAAAAGTGGGTTAAAACATTCCTGATTTAGGAGCTCTTCCAAGCTTTAGTGTGGAGTAGGAAGGCCCTGAGTAGGTTGCCTTTCCCAGAGGAACATAAAACACAGAGAACCAAAAATTCCCCCCTCCGACTACATCATCTATTTAATCTGTTAGTCAACATATATATTGAAGTCATTAACTCCATGTCAGTCAGTGGTAGGCACTGGAACATATTGGGATTCAACTTACACTGATATACTAGTTCCTTGAGGCTGGCCAGAAGTCTGAGTCCTCCCCAGGTTGACTGCCCTTCAGTCTGAATGACATCTGGAGCCTAATAGCTAGCCCAAGGATATAAAGATCACAAAGCAGCAGCCATGTATAAAGTACTTACCCAGATACTCTGGTCTGGTAGGTAAGCTTCTTAATTTTCTACATTAACTCTCAAAATGTAATTTATTCACGATTGGCATTAAGTGTGGTCTACTTTATCTTTTTTTTTCCCCAGTAGGAGGTGCTGGGAATTGAACCCATGGACACTTTACCAGTGAGCTACATCCCCCACCCTTTTTGTTTTTATTTTGAGACAAGTTCTCACAAAGTTGCTGAGGTTGGCCTTGAATTTGCAATCTTTCTGCTTCAGCCCTCCCAAGTCACTGGGATTACAGATGTGTGCCACCATACACCCAGATTTCTAGCTTATTTTTTAATGGGTAAGTCCTTTTGTACCCACTTAGACCTCTTAGTAATTATCCCCCAAACTCTGAAAGGGTCTGGATTTCAAAGAGTGAGAAGCTGATAGTGGCCACCGAAAAGTTCCAGCCCACTACAACCCTGAGAGCCACCCCAGAGCAACAGCAAGGGTTAGCTGGAGAAAAGGATAGACAAAAACCTCCTGGGTGAATGACCTTGGAGAAGACTAAGTCCAGAAGAGCCAAGGTCTTCTGAAATCATAATGGTGAGGGTCAGAAAAGTCTCTATAGGAAACCAAATTGGAATGTTAAGGTACCTGAGGCTTAGAACTTACCCAGTACTTAGACATCTTTCAATCTGATGGTTGAATGGTTTCTGTTAACCTGTGGAGAAGAGTTGATGACTTGAGAGTCAGGATGAACTCTTACCACCCCTCCCACATACTGCCCTCCCTTTTCTCCTGTGCATCCATATATTTACATGCAGGTGGATTCAGAGACAATAATTTAGCACTTGTCATTGTTTCTGATCCAAGATCTTTTGCCCCTTCTTAGGAACTGATTGACAGCAGGATGGAACATCTTTCCCACTGCTTGGTCCATATTCTCAAAGCTTTTCCCAGGGAAGGAAACTCTCTTTCCTAAAATAGTAATCTGGGGCTGGGGGTGTAGTTCAGTGGCGGAGCACTTGCCTAGCATGGCAAGGCCCTGGGTTCATTCCCCAGCGCCCCCCACACACATACAAAGAAAGAAAGAAAGTAGGAAACACATCCTGTTAAATAATAAAATAGTAATCTGACTTGATCAAAAATAAATTGTAATAGAACCTCAATTAATATTCAGGGTCTCCTAAAGTTCTAAACTGTTAACAATGGCACAAATACTTAAGAAAAAAATATCATGAGACCTGGAAGTGTAGCTCAGTAGGAGAGTGCTTACCTAGCATGTGCAAGTGTGGGGATCTCCAGGACCCCAAAAGGAAATAAATAAATAAATAAATAAAACCAGTACCAAAGACAAAATGTAGTGGGCCATATGTATTTTATATTTGTATTTGTTCAAGAGGCTTACAAGATTTTGGGGAGGTTCATTTAGTAAAATCATAGTGCTTAGTGAAGTAGGGGTTCCAATATAACAGAGAGATTGATATAACATAGAGACTGCATGAAATCCTGGAGGATGTAGCTTGATGTGCAGCACAAGAAAATCTGTGACAAAGTGGAATTTAATGGCCAATTGCAGCAGGATTATAACCATGCACATGTACTAGGAGAGATTCATACTCAGCAAAATTTGGAAATTGATTTAAATCACATTAAAGTCTTCCAGTGTGTTTCATGTACTCTGTGACATTTTAACCAGCATATTATTAAATAATAAATTACATTTAATCATATTTTTGTGGCTTGAGGAAAAAGTAAGTAATAATGAGGTTAGTCTGCCCTTCCTCTGTGCATATTTAAAAGCTCAAAACCACAGATCTTAGGAAAATAGGTCCCTGCGGAATGCAGGCATCAGAGCCAGAACTGTAATTTATTCAGTCTTCGTACCTCATAGTGTAATCCTTAGCATTGTCCTGGCCAAGCCACTCAGTGCCTTCGTCAGCTTGGGGGACGTTTGGTCTTCCATCCAGGCATCTGTGGTTCCACTCAGAATGTGTGGCTCTGTAGGTGTGGGGTGAAGAAGGAAAAGAGCACGTCACCGACCAATGTCACACTGGAAGAGAAAGAACTGAAATGGGAGGAAAACTAGGAAGAAATGGGAAGGAGATGGAGAAGAGGACATCATGGAAACAACATTAATCTCACATGTTCTTTAGAGAAAATCTCGTCTCATAAAGTGAAGAGACAAATTTATGAGACAAGACAAATTTACAAATTGATGCCAGGCTACAGACGAGTGCCATTCCGGCTAACCTGTACCCAGAGGTTATTTGAGGAAAACAGCGCACTCAGATGCACTCAGGTGGTTCTTCCCTCTGGGCCTTTGGCAAACACTGCTTGCCAGTCAGCCTGCTTTCAGCATAGGATTCAAGTGAGCACAATCAATTCAAGTTGGAAGGGAGATCAGATTATTTGAAATTCTTCTCTAGCTATTTATGAGAGCCGAATAGAATTTAGTATTACTTTGGGATTATGGAAAAGATGGTGTTTTAAAACCTGAAAGGGAAATGCAGATCATTTTTTTATTTCCTAAGTAAATATTCTATAGCCATGAAGCTGCTTATGCTGCCAGCAATGAGAAACCAGGGTTTAGGGACTCCAGAGAAGAGTAGCGCAGTGACTTAGAACATGAAAGAATCTCCCCTAGGGACATAGCTCAGTTGGTACAGTACCTGCCTCACATGTACAAGGACCTGGGTTTGATCCCCAGCACCAAAAAAAAAGAATTTCCCCTGATGCATTTTAAGCCACATTAGTTAATTTATGGTAAGCCTAGGAGTTGTCTCACATGTGAAAGTGCCAGATAACTCTGCTTCAGAGACTGGGGCACCAGCTGAGGGGTTAGAAGCACTTAGGTGGGAGGCTCTCCATGGGTGGGGAATCCCATAACCAACCTTTCTGCAGGGACCCCCTTGTCTTTCCAATGGTCCATGGAACATTCCTGGGGAAGGTAACACACCTTGGTTCATCAACAGTGTCTGTTGCATTTGATGACCAAAGTGTAGCAATTGTCCCCCCAAAGAAAGCCTTAATCCATTAGCAAGACTCTCCCCAAATCCTACCGTCTCCCCTCTGCATAAGACTAAAGGTTTCCTTTCTTACATGATTGAACTAATGCTTGTCACCTTGATCTGTGAATCCTATGTGTGGTCATTCACCTATCAGCATAGGATTCAAGTAAACACTATTCAGGTTGGAAGGGAGATCCAATTATTTGAAATCCTAGACTATTGAAATCCTCTCTAGCTATTTATAAGAGTATAACAAAACTTATTATTTATAGCTTTGGGGCTATGTGCAGAGGACTGTTGTGTCCTGTGGATGAGTCCCAGCTACCAAGGTAGTTATAGGTGACATGCTAGTGAAGTTGAGGAGTCCAGAACCAGAGCCAACACAATCACCAGGTCATTTCCTCATGGATAACTAAGGAGTAAGATATGGTAATGGTGGGAAACCCATGATAACAAGTAGAGCCATGTGGTCCTGCTTCCTGGAGCAAAAGACCAACTGTGGGTTGTTAGAGCATGGGGGTCTCAGAAACAGGGATCTGTAGGACCACAAGAATCAGGTGAGTAGTTCTACTGTTTTGTCAATAATAGTTTCCATGATCATACAGCTTTTTTTCAAAAGAAATTGCTAATGAGGTTGCCATTATAAGGATTTTCTATGGTCTTGAGTCTCATTCCTCCACACAGTGACCATCTCACCATAGTGACAATTTAAAGGGACCATAACCTTATGCCAAGGCCACCAAGTTCCCAAACTTCTTTGTCATTGAAGGTTAACTTCCCTAATGTTATATTCACTTAACTATTTGGATGCTCTCCACCACATAGTCTAGGAATCTCTGCTCTAGGACTTGGAGATTCCAAGAGACCCACTACACTCCCCAGGGTCTGCAGTTTCATGAGCTGTAGTGCTCCCTCTGCCAGCAGATGTTCTGATAAGCATCCTGGGTGTCCTAGTTTTTTAGCTGCTTCATCAAACCCCTCCAGCATTTCCTGGAAAGAGGGTAGATTCAAGTGATTGTCTTTATTGTCTGTTGCCTGTAGTAAGCAACTCTTGGGCTACTTTCTGCTCACAGCAATCATCCCTTTGTATAAAAAATATGCCTCGGTATACAAGTATTACAAGTTTTGGTAAAGCATAACTTGCAACAAAGAGATACTGAGAGTCGAGTCAGAATTAATGGTAATCCCCAAAGAAGGGGAGACCAGGAACTTTGGGCAGAATTCCTTTTCCTGCTAAGCTTTTGTGTGTAGCAGGACTAAGGTCTTTCCTGCCTCAGGGCCTTTGCTGATACAATTTCCACTTCCTCAGAACACCCTTCTCCTTGCTCTCTGTGTGGTTGGTTCCTTTTCATTCATATCACAACTTAAATATCACTTCCCCTGAGAAGACTTCCCTGACCATCTTATTTGCTTCCATCCTAGCTCTTATCACAACTTGAAAATACTTGAGACTTTTTTGGGGTTTGTTTTGGTCTGTATCCTTGATATACTGTAAGGTCCATAAGAGTGGAGATCATGTTTGTCAAGTTCACTGCTCTGCCTACAGACAGTGTGTGCACAGTGCTTAGACTGGATCATGGTAGTTACTCAGGACTTTCGAAGGATTGATTGACATAATGAATGGTTTCTTCTTTCCAACCCAAGGATATCTTCCTTGGGTTATGGTTTAGATGTGAGGTGTTCCCCCAAAGCTCGTGTGTGAGACAATGCAAGAAGGTTTAGTTCCACCATGCGATCAGCGCACTGGTTTCATTAAAGAGGTTCTTGGCATAAAAGTTAGCTAGTGAGATCGAAATAAAACACACAGACTCAGTTACCTTTTTCTATGACCAGGTCTGAGATGGCTCTCCCTCTGAACTCACACCTCGAACCACCCGATAGGGCAGCAGGGATTACTCAGGGCTAGCAGGAGAGAGAGAGAGAGAGAGCATGCCAGGGAGTAGCCTTTTATTGGGGAACAAGAAATTCAGGGGAGAATTCCATCCAATGAAGGTTGAGGGGGGCAGCACTCCAAGGTCAGGGTCAGTGATTGGCCCCAGGGTCAGTGGTCAAGTTACACCCCCACATGGACAGGCTCTTGCACCAGGAGAGGGTCGGGAAAGCTCCGACATAGTTTAGCCAGAGTGCCTCAGACCCAAACCGGGAGTTGCCCAGTCACATGTGAGAATGGCTCCCCACATATTCCCCCTTTTCTTTTCTTAAAAAAGAGGCAGTGGTTCACTCTTGGGAGTTTCTGTATTCATGTTCCGAAGACTCGCCATCCTATAATTACAACACAAAAGAGAATTAACAGCAAAGAGAATAATCCAATAATGTACCAGGCCGAGTGTTTAAGAATATTTCCAGGGTTGAATCCATTCAACTCCTTCAATATTTGGTTAACCAAAGAAGAAGGATCCGAAAAATCAGCTCTATTATTTTGAATGTCTTGGATATGGTGATGAAGTTCTAGAATATCCAAGCTATTATTACTATTTTGCCAAATACCTAACAAATGATTTTTAACCTTCTCCCAATCCCAGAGAGAAGCGTTGTACTTGGCAGCTGTAACACACACATATTTATAATTTGCATGGCATTTAAGCCCTCTTTAAACTTTAAGGCTGAAAGTTCATTATCTATGTCTAAAACAGTCGCCTCTAAGGCATTTAATTTAGGCTCAATCCTTTCATCAATATTTACTTGATTACGCAGAGCCTTGGAAGTATTTTGAGCTAAATTATTAAGAAATTTTGCATGCTGAATATTATGAGACAATGTCAGAGATGCAGAGACAGTGGAGGCAATAAAAGAGACTAGCGCCAAAACACCAACAATTATAATTCCAATATCACATTTAGGTCTTGCTAGCTGGGCATGAATTTGCTGCAAGACTTGTAAACCAGTATCAGCATACCATGGCTCTGAAATATTAGCAGGTAATAAAACAAAAGAGGGCTGATGAAGTATCAGCACTCCTTTTCCTCCATTATACCTAGTAATACAATTGGTTAGGTTACATTTGTTACAAGTAACAATATATCTGTCATCTATCCATTTAACTTTTACATTTCCAATAATTAAAACATAAGGAGACTGGACACAGGATCGTAAGCCATAGCAAGATCCCTCCTTACAGTTCTTGCCAACAAATTTTGGTAAAGGCTTCTCTGTAAAATGTAAGAATTCTGAGGCAGCAATTAAGCGCCAAATATCCTTTTGAATACCACCTTCACTATAAGTCAAAATATTACTAACAAATCCTGCAGGCGTCATAGCAGAATTTTTTCGTAATTGTCTCTTATCAATTTTTGGAGACCAGTCTAAAATATACCCACTATCTTTAGACACCTTATGTTGTACCTTATGTTTAGACACCTTATTTACACAATCCATCCATCTAGGAAAGGTGCCAATCTCAATTGTAGAACTATTTGGACAGTGGGGTATCCGTGGAGGTTTTGCAGAAATGACTGGCTTGTTATGGGAAAGTCCCATCTTAATTACTGATCTAGTATAAGGTTTTAAGTCTCCATAAATAGAATTATTTGTCAGTCTAGGTCTACCAATCACTGTCTTTTCCTCTAATGATACTTTCAGATAGCCAGCATGTTTATCGTGGGACCAACACAAAGGTAATTGGGCACTGTAGCCAGAATAATTAAATCTAGTCACATGATTGGGAGTAATATGAGTATCTGTAAATCCTCCCATCATGAATGAGTCATTAGTAAATACTAGAATAGATTCTCCAGTCCACACAGCTGGGTGTACCAGGGGTGGATCTGGGAAATATGTCCAATAAGTGTCTATTTGATCCCCCTTTACCTGACAGCCCAGCAGGGCAATTACTGTTGCTACCATCATCACTGGGGTCCTGTTCTTTCCTAGGAGTCGAAGTATTCGGGAAGCCTGTGTTGTTAGCTTCTTCACGTCTTCCCATGAAATCAGATTTTCGGCTGGGTCAATCTGGTCTTTCTTCATCTTTTTCCAATATCTCTTCCTTTTGGATAGGGGCTCCTCCGGGTCTATCTTCAGTCACTTGAATCTGGGTTCTATCTCTTCCATGTCTGATCGCGCGTTCAGGCACCCAAATAGGACGAAAAGCACTTTCTGGAAAGATACAAGCATGACCTCTGCCCCACATAAGCACTGGGTCTGGGCCTTTCCATTGACTGGTCTGTAAATCTTTTCACAAAACTCTGCCTAAAGGGCCTGTTACTGAGGGAGACATTTGCCTCTCAGCAGCAGTGTGACCTTCTGTGTCACAGTTTAAAAAATTTAAAATGAACAAAGCATGATTGGGGCTATTTTGGGGAGTCATAATCCTATTCCCCCCTTTAACTTTTGTAATTGAAGCTTAATAGATAAATGAGCTCGTTCCACAATGGTTTGACCTTGGGGGTTATAAGGAATTCCTGTTTTATGATTAATTTGAAACTCTTGGCAAAATTGTTGAAAAGAAGAGCTTATGTAAGCTGGAGCATTATCTGTTTTAATCTGCATAGGGCACCCTAACACAGAAAAAGCTGCTAGGCAATGAGAAATTACATGTTGAGTATTTTCCTTAGTACGTGCTGTGGCAAAAATAAATCTGGAATAAGTGTCCACTATGACATGCACATAACATTGTTTACCAAATTGAGGAATATGAGTTACATCCATTTGCCATATTTGATTTGGTTTTAATCCACGGGGATTTACCCCTGATGGTGGAGATGGAGTGTGAATAACACACTTAGGGCATTGGCTTACAATTTGACGAGCTTGTTTTCTGGTAATATTAAATTTTTTACGTAAGCTAGAAGCATTTTGATGATGCAAGGAATGGGAAACTTGTTGACAGTTATATGAAGACATCTGTTGACAAATTTACTAATTTATCAATTTTGTCATTACCTGAAACTAAAGGTCCTGGAAGATTAGTATGAGCTCATATGTGTCCTATGAAACATGGGTATTTTCGCATTAGCACTGCCTTCGGTAAATTATGAAATAATTTAAATAACTCTTGTGATGAAGTATACCCAATAACTGAAGTTTCAATATTTTTGGTAACTCCGACTGCATATAAGCTGTCAGAATAAATATTAATAGGCTCATTTGAAAAGTAATTTAAGGCACAAATCAGAGCTTGAAGCTCTGTTCTTTGGGCAGAAGTATAACAAGTTTGCATTACCTCTGTGTGAACACAACTATAAAAACCTGCTTTACCTGAGCTTGAAAAATCAGTGAACACTGATAAAGCTTCATCTATAGGATGTGCACGTACAATCTTTGGAAAAATAAGTGATGTTAATGATGCAAATTGGATAATCTTATCATGAGGGTAATGGCTATCTATCTGTCCAGGAAAATCAGCAAAAGCTATCTGCCATAAGCTAGAAGTTTGAAAAAGCCAATTAGTCTGTTGAACAGAAAATGGAATAATTATGATATCAGGCTCAGATCCAATTAATTGTAAAATCCTAGTTCTGCCTTTAATTACTAATTGAGCTATGGAATCATGAAAAGGAATTAATGTTTTTTGAGGGGAGTAGGATAAATAAATCCACTCAATAACTCCTAATCTTTGCCATATGGCTCCTGTTGGGGTATGCTCAGTTGGAAATATTAATAAATACACTATTTCTTTAGGATCAACTCTAGTAAGCTGTGCATTTTTAATTGTATGTTCAACTCTCTTTAAAGCTGTTTTAGCTTTTAAGGTTAGCTGACGTGGAGAGGTTGGAGAAGGATTTCCTTGTAATATCTGAAATAAAGGACTTATCTCAGAAGTAGTTAGTTTTAAGGATGGCCCCAGCCAATTAATATCTCTTAAAAGCCTTGAAAATTATTAGGGGTTTGTATGGAAACTGTTTGTTCCGCTCCGGTAAAATTAAAGATGGCGGCCCCCATGGTTGGCGCGATGACGTCACATTGCACGACCATCACCTACTTCCTCATTCTTGGCCTGGGGGGAGGGCCGACAAGAAGTTTGTGTTCCAGCCAGGTGGAAATGAAGACAAGAAAGCGGGCTCATCCACGCCATCTTGATCTGCCACGTGGGGTAGAGTCCTGTAATATCTATTATCATCAGTAGATGGAGCCCTGAACTTAAAATTGCGCTTGCGACATTCGCTCGCAAAATGGTTATTTTTCCCGCAAACATAGCATCTCCCGCGGGGCTTTCGTACTAATTCTTGCGGCTTTAACATTTCTTTCAGTGCCGCAGCTATGGCTACTGTCTGCAAATGGGTAGAGTCTATCTCAGAACATAAGCGGATAAACTCAGAAACTGTCCCCTTTTTACGGTGCGGCCTAAGAACGTCCTGACAATACTTATTCGCATTTTCAAATGCCAATTGTTTAACAATAAACTCACACACACCCGGGTCCCCAATCAACCTGTTTTCGGTCTGGTACAATCGGGCTACAAAATCTGAGTACGGCTCACTCACACCTTGCCTGATTTTGGTAAGAACTAAATTGGATTGGTTTTTTGAGACTATCTGCTTCCAGGCATGTTTCGCACAATCAGTTATTTGATCGTATATTACAAATTCATAATTTAACTGTCTTTCTAAATCAGCAAATTCACCTGTTCCTAAAAACATTTCTACTGGAGTTTGTAAATTCTGTCTTCTATTTCTTTCTGCCTGTTCAGTACAAAAATCAGTCCAATAAGAACGCCAAAGTAAGAAATCTCCTCCACTCAAACAAGATCTAGCTAACGAAATCCAATCACTAGGCGGGAGGGGCTGCGAGCAAATATTATCTATCAGGCTCTGTACAAAAGGCGTATTCGGACCATACATCTCGCATGCACTTTTTTTGTTCCTTAATGGTTTTAAATGGGATTACAGCATGAACTCTAACTCTCTGATCTTGCTCATTAACTTGCTCAAAAACTGGAAAAAGTTGAAAACCGCTAATATCTTCCCGGCTTCCTGTGCTTTCTTAATACCTCGCTGGAACGGGGTAAGAAAAGTCATTGTTAATTCAGAGTACCTGTTAAATTTTGTCCTTTTAGCAGGTAATGGCCGTATTCGAATAGCCTGTGCAGGCGGTGTTAAACGCAGCCTGTTAAAATTTCTCTGTAAGTCCTGAATATCAACGTCTGATTCTTCTCCCTCGGACTGTGAGTCATGGATAGAATCTGCGCTGTCACCATTTTGAAATTGGGCTTCTAAGCCACGCAGTGGAGAAGAACTCTGTGCCTCTCTAAGAATCTCTTCCAGATTTTCCTCTTCTATCTCTTCCGGAGGACCTTCTAGGACTGTGGAGGTTTCTTCTCTATGACCTTCCTCTCTATAATTTCCCTGAGGGCTAGCCTGATCATGCAAGTTTAAAGTCACATTGCTAACTTTTGGTTTAGCCCCTAGAGCCTTTGTTTTTAAATGGCTCAAGGGAAAGGAAATTAACTTAGCCTCAGGCGGATTTTCCATTTGAATAGACCTAATAGCTCTCTGAATGCCTTTTAATAGATCTTCAGGGGGCCATGAACTCTGGCCCATATATTCAAAAAGACAAATTTCCAGAGCATCCAAGTTTTTTGAATACTATCTATGCCTCCAGGTAATTCATTAGAAAGACAAACTTTTTGTAACTTTCTTCCTAGTTTCTCCCAAGTAAGTAAATTTAGGGACTCTTATTCACAAAACCAAGGGCAAAATTCGCCTACAATCTTTAAGAATTGTATTAACTGAGTTTTCTTTATCTGTTTTCCTTTCTGATTAATTATAGTGTCTAAAATAGTCAGATACATTTCCTTATCCGTAGAAGTTAATTTCCCAGTTTAATTAATTTAACGTCTCTTTCCTTCAATATTTCCAGGTACTTTTGTGACCCAAAATTGTCACCAATTCCTTTATCTTTATCTTTGTAGCATACTCCCACTCAATCTAGCTAATCTAGAATGCCCCCCTCGTGGGTGCCAAATTCCACCATGCGACCAGCGCACTGGTTTCATTAAAGAGGTTCTTGGCATAAAAGTTAGCTAGTGAGATCGAAATAAAACACACAGTCTCAGTTACCTTTTTCTATGACCAGGTCCGAGACGGCTCTCCCTCTGAACTCATACCTCGAACCACCCAGTAGGGCGGCAGGGATTACTCAGGGCTAGCAGGAGAGGGAGAGAGAGAGCAAGCCAGGGAGTAGCCTTTTATTGGGGAACACGAAATTCAGGGGAGAATTCCATCCAATGAAGGTTGAGGGGGGCAGCACTCCAAGGTCAGGGTCAGTGGTCAAGTCACACCCCACACGGATAGGCTCTCTTGCACCAGGAGAGGGTCGGGAAACCTCCGACACTGTTTAGCCAGAGTGCCTCAGACCCAAACCAGGAGTTGCCCAGTCACGTGTGAGAATGGCTCCCCACAGTTTAGAGGTGAAATGATTGGGTTATGAGAACTTTAATCAAGTCAGTGATTAATCTCCTGATTAGGGATTAACCAGGTGGTAACTGTAGGCAGGTAGAGTGTGGCTGGAGGAGCTGGGTTCCTAGGTGCATGGCTTTTGGGTTTATATTTGTCCTTGTTGAGTAGAGGTGAGCGCTCTCTCTCTCTCTCTCTCTCTCTCTCTCTCTCTCTCTCTCTCTCTCTCCTCTCTCCTTCCTGGTGCCATTGTTATAGTTAAAGCAATGTCCTGGGGTTTCATAACTGACTTCCAGACCACTCACGTATAATCGAATCAAGCCTTTATGGAAGAACACCTGTGGCGACTAACAGAACATAAAGCTGTTCTCCTGATCATCCCTGAACAATTGCAAGGGTGCGCCTCATAATCCTGAAAACCACAAAAGGGACGTTTGGGGGTCCAGCCAAGGCAAGCAAGCCAAGTTACAGAAGCGGGAGAGTGCAGTCAGGCAGCGGGAACTTTAACTAATCACAGTTATCCCAGTCACCCCAATACAGAAACATAGCCCCGTTACCCTAGTTATAGAAACAGTGCTCCATTAGGTAGTTCCATGTTCTTAAGAGTTTCTATAGCAAAAGGAAAAGAACAACTTGCCCCAGCTGTGACCCTTCTATTTGGCATGGTTGTTTTACAGAATGGAGTTACTAAACAATATAGAGTCACTTTGGCTTGACTATCACAGTTGAAACAGAGAAGCTTCTGGGGTCCCAGCCTCTAGGATGGGATCCAGTGTCCTCTATGGCCCAACACTAGTAATGACTCTAAGCTATAGCTGTGAGCACCTGTGGTACAGGCAGTAGAGATGGAAAAGATTCAAGAAAGCTTTGCAAACAAGTGGGAGAGTGAGGAGTGGAGAGAAGGGAGGAGAAAGGAGAAGGGAGAGGGAGCACCCGAGATGTTGCTGATGTCCCAGTGTTCATCTACCTCATCGGCTCTCAGGACAAAACCTTCTAGTCCTTCTCATGGGTTAACCATCCAGGAGGCTTCAGATTTATGAGGTGGCCAGCCTTAGACCTGGGTAACACATTGGTTTGCCTTCCCAGCTTAGGGCAGGAAGGAGGCAAGATTGTTATTAACAGCCTTTGGCCACTTGTCTTGCTAAGGGCTTCCTAGTTTCTACCCTTATCTGGAGAGTTTTCACAGCTTCTAAGAATGCTGGACTGCAGTGAGCTAGGGTAAAGAGGAAGTTAATAATGGGCTCCAATCTCCTGGGTCACCTTTTTTTCAGGGCATCTCTAACTTCATGAACCAAATTAGTCTGCAGCTGCATTCTAAGCTCAAACCCTCACCGGAACCTGACTTGGTTATGGGCATTTAAAGGCCCCTTCTAATTTCTGTTATGTCCCTCTCTGCCTCCTACAAGTTCAATTTCTAAAGAATTTAAACCTCAGAGGGGCCATGATGTGGTCCACTGACCCGGACGACTTTGTAATGCCAGATTCATGGGACCCCAATAGACCTTCAGGAGTGGAATTCTATGCAATCACACAAGAGTCTTTATTGCAAGCTCGAGCCTGGACTCACAACCATTTCCCATGCAGCAGTCCCCAAGGAGTGAGCCCTGGTTCTTTGTTCAGTGAGGATTTATAGGATTTTTGGGTTTAATCTGTGCGTCACAACATCACACAGCAATTCATTTCATGCCGTGGGAAAATCAAACAACTCTTAACATTGATTAGCACATTCACTGGTGGGAACAAGTTGGGTAGGGGTGATTGGTTAGTACAAGAGGGGGATTCATTTGAACTGATTGGTTTAATCTGTGAGGGGAGTACGTGCTAAACTACATGGTTTCCCAACATGTTATCAACCACCATAAACTACTTGGGGGGTCATCTGGCACCCCAGGTATTTTTCCTGTCTCATGCTGATTGGTGGTTGCTAGGGGGGTTGCTATGGGTCCTCACCTAGCCTAACTGAGTCAGGGACACCTGGCACTGCAGACCTCTCCTGTTATTTACAGACAACTCAGCAGGGTGGATAGGTGCTTAGGAGTGCTCTGTGGGTTTTTCCAAGGACAAGGGTCACGCCCCCTTCCTTGGTCAGGCCTTGAGGTAGAAGCTGTTTTCAAAAATGGAGTCACATCAGTTTCTCAACTTCACGGGAAAATCCAGCTGCCAGGGTGCCTACCCACTTGTCCAAGCAGTCAAGAGGAACCGTGAAGGTAACAGAGTCTGGGGCTGTGGTAGGAGCTGAGAAACTTGTAAAGGACGATGGAAAAGCTCTGTAAACTCAACAAGCCAAAACAACGTTTACCTGTCCGAGATTTTATTAGCAGGACCCTAGCGGCCAGTCACAGAAGAGAAGGGAGAGGAGAGGGGGAAGAGAGAGAGAGAGAGGAGGAGGGAAGAGAGAGAGAGAGAGGAGGAGGGAAGAGAGATGAGAAGGGGGAGGAGAGAGGGGAGGGGGAGAGAGAGGGGAGTAAGAGAACAAACATGACCAGGATATTGATATTTATGGGCTTAACACAGGATGAGGAGGAGCAGGGTGAGTGGGCTGTTACTTCTTCATTGGCTGAGAGTTTGCGCCCCTTCAGGGATTGGAGGTGCACCATTCAAAGTTCGCGCCATTCACAGGGATTGGAGG